CTTGGACAACAGATCATTAATTTTTAGCTTTTTTCTTTAACGGCAGCAAGATTAAAGTTACTTATTCTCAAATACTAATGACTCGTATTGGGGGGCGCTAACTCGGGTCATCTTTTCTGTGTTTGAAGATGTACGTCTGTTGGTTGTTCAAATCTGCACATATAAAACGCATCTTTGAATTCAATAAGTTTTGAAAAATTTTTCAGTTTCTCAGGACTTTAATACAACCTTTTTCTAGCAGGCAATGATATAGGACGAAATGAACTTCAAATTTGTTTTTGGCCTACTTTTACTACAATATTTTATTTTATCAAACCCATTATCTAGTTTCTACTACTCCGGGATTAGGTTTCCCGGATTGCTATCACGTCTATTTTCCTTCACGCTTTCGGATTTAAAACTTCTCATTTATCCAGTTGGCAGTTGATGACTTCCAATTTGCGAAGTCAAAAATTGAATCTTGAAGTTTGAAAGTGGATTGTCTACCATGTTCCTGCAGCGTCAGAATTTAAAAAGAAATTGACTTAGATACATCTTTGAAAATCCAAAATCTTTAGTAAAACTTAAAGAACGACCTTGATGGACTCCAGAAACTTTTAGATTATCTGATAAAATGTGACTTTTAATTAAAAAAATATCAAATCATTTGGTAGCTTGCAGAGCACTGCTAGTTAAAATATATTGATTGAAAAGTACAGTGAGGACAGCTACAAAAAAATAAATTTTGCATAGGATTTTGTGCTTTATAATATGTTGAAAAGGTAAGCACTATTTTGGTGCTTCAACGAAGTCGCAAGTTGTTGGGTGAACGGTGAAATGGGGCAAAAGGAACAAATGTTCAGGATCTTTTATCAAGTTTATAAAGTGCGTAACCTGCTTGGTAGTCTCATCAATGAGGCAGAAAAAGAACTTTTGGACAACCGGAGAATTGTGTTGCAGGATGGCTCTTTCCGGGTTTTTGCTTGATTATTGCGGCAACAAGCGAAGTGGTTTCAAGTGTTACAGAAAGTGAAGGTGCTTTTTGCCTTTGCAAAAGGACGTTCTTGGTGGCTGTGATTTTGAAGTCATTGCTGGAAAGAAAGGTGTAAAAGAGTAAGGTAGAGACAATTTTGTAGTATGGTTCAAGCTCTCGGAAGCTGACGATTGTTCTCGTGATCCCATTTTCTCTGTTGAAGGTTCTTCCTTACAAGTCCTGCTCAAGCACAGCCTGAAAGATTTTGTCTTCATTTAAGTTTACTCTGTTTGTAATCCTGTTCAGTTATTATCTTCCTTCCGGTGTTGCT